GAGTTGTCAGTCACTCTGAATACTATAGAAAAGTTCGCCAATCCCTGTGAAAGAATCACAATCTGAAAGAATCAAGGATCTGAAAGAATCACAATCAAAATTTTCCTCACAGTTAGCCGCATTCCAAAGTGATCATAGACGACAAGAGGCGCTCGATTTTGTTGAAGATATTAGAAATTTGATTTTCGCTAATTGTAAGCGTCGTGATGTTCGTTGCATATGAATGAATAAAATCATTACTGCTTGTTTTGGCAATTCTCATTGCTGGAAATGTTTTAGCCATTGGCTCGGTGGTAAAACAAAACAGTCCATTCATCCGTCCATCGGTTCATCGATTCACCTGTTCGTGAAAGAGTGAACGATGGAAAGATACGTTCCGGTCGAGTATACGAGTAGTCCAATTGTGGATATTCTATCGTCTACATCGCAAGAATGTGTCAGTTTTTGCTCTTTTCATTTCTCATCATCATCACAGCAACCAATCGACTACTCGAACTTATCCATCCCACTGGGAAAGAACTCATAAAGCAATTGCTCATCAAATTGTTTCTCACCTAGAAGAGCTTAGTAATATCAAGTTGAATATCTTCTGAAAATAGGATTTCTGAAACGTGTGCCATTCCGTTCAGAACGTGCATGATTCTGTCATGTATGCAATAAACTAAAAAGAAGCTGAAATTCTCCAGATTTCGTGAAAGTGTTTAAAATTCATGATGTGTCAGTTTACCTCTACCATCATCAAACTTAGGAAAGAGTCTTAAAAGGCCCGGAGATACGGCTGGCATGAGCCATTAAGTTATGTTGAAGAGACTAATATGCCAGCTATGAATATTCACTGGGAGAATCGACAGACTTGAGTCGGAGATGATTGTTCCTGTAAAATTGCAAGCACTTGATTCTTCTTTAAACTTTCAGCGTCCTACACCTAACACAGCACCTACATTTGCAATTCGATCAGTCACTTGTTGTGCCTCTGGCTCCGGCTCAAGTTCGAGTCCTTGCCGAAACGACGACGACAATAGAAGCAGTGCTGATCAAAGCGCTGAGGAAATGCCGCCGTGGAAGAATGGCGACAGAACTGAAAACACAGTATGTTCAAGCCTAAAGCCTAAATTTCGCTTGACTTCATAGCCAGCCGTCCATAACCATCTAAGCTCATGATGCTAACAAGCTAACATTGTATCACCTTTTACTGCAGCCAGTGCTCTTTTTTGATCAAATGATCAAATCGACGTTGTTCATGCATTTCATTTAGCATTTATCCGTTCATACATGAAATTTGAATTGCTCAAATTCCTCAAATCATAATGCACAATGATTGTTTGAAGCTTGAAAGCATAACGGGTCAAGCACAAGCGTTTCGCAATTCATTGATCACAGTAACTGATCACAGTGTACCTATTGCTGTGATATTCGGTCACTGTATCGCCTGAAAATATGTTTGAAGGGAGATGAACTGGACGCGAGAAGTTATGATGATGAGTTCAAGCAAGAAGCTCAGACATCGAATTCATTCGATGATGGCCCAGATCAGATAGCACTTCTTGAACGTATCGTTCGTACACATCCCGTTTGGTATCTTCAGCATGTCAATCGTTCGGTGGCCGTTCACCTGTTAAGACCAATGCAACCTGGTGTATGCCACTTCCCACTTGAATCTCGATTCTCATCCTATTATGTCGCTAAATTTCTCTCAAGTCAAAAATTCTCCTGTACATTCAGAGTTAAGTGATGAAATGAGAGTGAAAATCTCGTTGCAGTAAGATAACTCATAGCTGGTCAGATCAAATTTTCTCTGTCTTGATCGAATCATCACATGTCAGTTGTCATATCTGCTGCTACTGCTGCTGAAGGATGAGTAATAATGAGACCAGTTTGAGAACGTTTCAGGTATTCATTGTTCGTGCATCATCCAAAAAGAATTCAATGGCACTGAGCATTCGTCTGGATAATCCAAGCAGTGCGGATATCGATCACTATTTGATACAAACCGATAAACGAACTCGTCAAGTTCACTTACAAGCTTCACCATTTCGCTTCAAATCCCTACCGTTACTGATCGAACACTACTGCACTCATGGGTTCGTAGTCAAAGATTTAGAATTGAATGTAAATCGAAGTCTAAGCCTAGCTTAGACTCTTCAATTAAGCTCATTGGCTGAAAAATGACGACGAACTGTATGCCATTTCATCACGAGTTTCCATTGAATCAAACTTGTTCTTCGTTTTCGTCATATGTGATATTTACATTATTTAAAACTGTGCCTTATCTTATCAGAAGTTTTTAATATTCAAAACGCAATGAATATTAAGCTCACAATCATAACTGTCATAGTTTTCAGTTGCTAATTTCATATAATTTATTTGGAATGATTGTTAAAATTCTCTCCTAATAGGTGAAGTAAACTTACAGCGAGGAACTCCAAGTACGTCTCAGTTTACCTGTGGCTATTAGAGAATGTCCTTCAACCAGGCAACTGCAAAGTATTGCTCTAATGGGCCAAGGTAGGCTTTTCCTAAATCCTCATACTGAAATCCTTTTCGCACAACGGAAATTCCAGTCCGCAAGCAATCATCAAATGTCTCTTGGTTTGATCTCTCAATGATCATTATGAATGATTGTTTCCCGAACTCTTGATAACATTCTTTCATGGAAGTTTTCTCTAATAAGACAATAAGACAAGAATTTGAATTGCCCTCGCGGTTGAACCAAAAAATCTTGCGAAAGAAAATCTTCTTTTGGTAAGATTGTCTCCTCTGAATGTTCCCTCAACAAGCGCATTTTTTGCTGCTTCTTCAATAATAAGATGAAAACCAAACCGAAATGAATCAATCGAATCGAGTAACCGAATAACCACTGCAATAACCAACGTTCCTGGTGCGGCTAAGCAAAGGAAATCTTTTAACT